GCCAGGCTTCTCCCCCAACTCAGATCTACGAAACTGAACTAGACGTACACCGATGCGATTCTAGATTATTCGAAATTTGTACGAAATCCTTCGACTTTGCCGATCGAACGCGCAACCGTGGACAACGATCGATCGAACACCGTTGGAAGTAGTAAAATAAATTTGCGAGACCGTAAGCGCGTGCGATGTATCGCGAAAACGTACGCGAGCGAGTTATTCCGTCTTTCGATTATACCCACACAACGAAAATTCATCGGAATGAAAATGGCCTGCTTTATATTCCAATAGCGAAAGCCACTATCAGGGATCTTAGACGAAAGTTATTCCGCATATCCTGCGAAAAACAGCGGTCCGTTTCATGCATACCGCTGGCCTCGGTCCGCATATGGCCAGGCTAAACTCCAATCTAAATTCCGAAGCTCCTAGATCGGAATAGATTTTGCATGTAAGAACGCGAGGGTGGTTCAGTTCGCGTTCGGACGCCGTCTCGAACCTTTGGTTGGCGTCCAAAATGTCCGACGCCTCCCGTGTCCACCCCTCTTGCCATCCGCGAGAGCATCCCTCGATCCCTTACATCCCCCTGGTCGTTTGGGCGGATTAAAAAATTTCCGCGTGGAATTAGGAAACGACTATTTGCTCGGCAATCGTCCGAAAGGCTGGTTAATGGATTTTTCGTGCAAGTGTTACACCCCCCCGTGGAACGGAAAGAACGACGACGACGACGACGACGACGACGACGACGACGACGACGATGACGTCGAAATATGCATCGACCTGTACAGAGGAGGCTCGCCTTGCAGCAGCATTTTCATCCCATTCCGCCGACCTTTTTCAGCCACTTTAGCCGACTGCAGTGGCAAACCGCCGACAATGCGGAATAGGAATTTCATTCTGCGCGAAATGCCGCGGTCGTTTCTCGTTTTTTCCATCGCCCCCCTGAGTACTCACCCCTGTCCTGCGTTCACGGTCTCACACCGTGATTACATTCGACTCCTCGTGCGTGCGAGAAAAGCAAGGCGAACGAGAAGAACGAGGAAGAGAGAGAAAGAGACAAAAGAGGGCAGAGTGCAGGGGGTGAGAGGTCGAGGAGGCAAGAGTAAGGATAGGACTGGAACAGATACCGAAATTAACCGAGCCAGAGATATCTCATTACCATTTCGCTGCCGGCTCGTACCACGACGACCTGCTGCCGACGACTGACCGAAATAATCGCGCATTAGCCGAGTTTGCGACCAAACTACCCCCGCCTCGCGATACTTCTCTTCGAATCTAGCGAGGACCGACTGCAAGGCGGCCCGAATTGGCTCGCGATTTATCGCGCTGCATTATTTACCCGCGTGCCAACTGCAGCGACGTTTTCTCGAAACATTCTTTCTCGTGGTCCTCGTACGACTGCCGTGCAAAAGTCGGTAAATATTAATCAGAGTACTCGGCGGCATTCTCGAGCACCCCCGTTTATTTTCTTCAGCGTTCTCCCTACCGCCTCGTGTTAAACGTTTTACGCGCGATCTCGTGCAATTTTAATTAAGCGTTGAAACGATATGGCCCGGCGGAGAGCGAGTGGACGTTATCTGGCTTTTAACGATAACGAATCGAACGGTTGTCCGACAGCGGGGGTGAACGGTCGCGGTCGCGCGAGCCAGCGTTGTCGCGATCCCACGTTCGGAAAGTATTCCAGGTAGAAAAGACCTCGAATAGACAGGGATCCGCCTTGAAACGACGTGCCGAACGGAAGAGGGAGGTTAAACGAAGCGAATAAAAGAATTAGACGAGGAAAATTGAATTCAGCCGGCTGAAGGTATGGGCGGGTAGAAGTAGTCGAAGGCACAAAAGCCGGAGCCTGAAGCGGCAAATGCATCAAGAAGCGCACATCTTTAATCGAGTTCGATTTGTTTCGTCGAACGTTACTCTTATCGAATCTGTTCACCCGGCTAATCAGTCGCGAATACAAAGCTTACCGCGAAATCGAGCGCGATGGACTCGCGATCATCGGCGTTACGACCTACGAACCCCATTCGTTCCGCGTTATTACCATACGTCGCGAGAGAGAGGGGTTCGGTTCGTTTGCCTCACGACCGAGTACGTGCACCCCGTGACTTTAGAAGGGAAAAGTTAAACCACGCGAATAAAGAAATCGGACTGGTATGACGGGGTAGAGCGAGGTGAGCACGAGGAGAGGGCGAGAAGGGGTTGCGACGAAACGGGCATCTATAAGGACAAGAAATGGAGCGCTAGCTAGCGGTCCGGTGCTCGGTCGTCTGGCTGGTCTGGTTGCCCGCGGCTGTTCTGCTTCTGAGATTACGATCATAACGAAAAACCTTCTCGCTCCCATTGGCCGTCGCGGATCTCGTCCCCTTTCTCCACGAGGCAAGCTCGTCGTCCTTTCGATCCCTTCTTCTCGCTCCGTGTCCCTTCGCGAGCTCTTCCCTTTCCTTCTTCTTCCAGCCATCCCATCCAGCCGCGTGTATGAGAACGTCCGGCGACGGCTGCATCGCATAGAGCATTGCGCGGCACGGCATGCATTATGGAACGAGCAGCCAACGATTCTACCGGAAAAATTGCGGACACGCGAGACGGACGCGATCTGCAGCCTGACTACCTACCTACCTACCTACCTACGTAGATATGTACCTAAGCACCGACCCACCGCTGCTCTCGGTTACCCCGCGCTCTAGTCGCCGGAGAAGATTGCTTTCCTATATTGCATCCTCCGCCACACGAGCCACCCTCGTGCGGTGCGCGGATGCGAGACGCGCCGATGTGCCGCGCGAGTTACCGCTCCTCTCCATTTCGCGAGAAACCCTCGAGAAAACTCTCCGTCTCGTTAACGTCGATTACGACCGGTGCGCGACGGCGATCGGTCGGGATTGTTCCGGCTCGGCGGGATTGCTGAAAATTTGAACGTTCGTAATCGACGTTTAATAACAGGAAGCGCGGAATGTCATTTTTCATCGCGATCCCACCGCGCCGATTGAATGTTAACGAGTATCGATTACAAAGCAACCGACTTGAACCGCAATGCGTCGATTATGTAATGAACGTTAAACGATGGGCGGCACAAGAACGTGCATTAATCATAACCATCGGCACGGTTGTTCGGCCGTGATGAAACGGCCGAGCGAACAAATATCTTCTATCGCTCGCTATTGCTTTAAGGAGTCTTTAATTAACCTCGCCTAGCCGCGACTTGTTTTCCCTCCCGAGCCGGTTTCACCCTCGTTACCGCGAATTTAACCGTATCTCGGTGATCGGAAGCGGAATCTTTCTTCTACCGATTATCGATCGAACCGCCTCCAACTTACGTAATGGAAAAGGGTCTATTATTTCGAGCGCGGAACGGATCCTGTCTCGGAGCTCGCGCGATCCCAGGATTATAGTCGGTTTCCGCGGCGAGCGGATCGCAGCGGGGGAAAATTGCCGTCGTTAATTAGGAAGAGTAATCGGAGAAAAGGAGGAACGCCTGTCGGCGAGCGAGCTCGGTTGACAGTCGCGATGCGCGCAACTCGGCGAATTCGTCGGAAATTCCTCGCGAAGCGGCCCGAGGCCGACGATGGAAGCGACGTGGTCGAGGAGAGCCGTTGATAAAAGAAATATTCGACGACAAATGTGCAAATGAGCACGCGAGGGTGGGACCGGGCAAAGCGTCCGCGCGGTTGTCCGTGTAACGTTGCTGCTCGTCCCGCTCGCGTCACACGGAAAAGCCACGCGGGAAAAGAGAAAAAAGGAAACGAACGATGCTTTGACGTCTACCTCTGCCCCTCCCTTTCTCTCTCTCTCTCTCTCTCTCTCGCTTTCTAGGCTCCGATGTTACGAAGAACCGAGTAAAGTGACAACAGCCGCGTAATGCTGATGAAAGGGAGGATAACGGCGTAATCCCCTCGAGTCCGGTTCTCGAGGAGGGTTTGCGTCAACAGATGCGGCGGGATAACGATGTTTTAAATTTAACAGTACTCGAAAATAAACCGTGCTCCCTCTCTTTCTCTCTCGCGCCGAAAATTCTATACGCGTCCGCTTTATGCCCCCTCTAGCGAAATTAAACCGGTTCGCAACGTTTACCGACGCAACGTGCCCTCGTCCTATCTACCGAGCGCGATGTTCGCTCTGTTAATTTATCGAGCTCTAGCCGTCCACCGGAAAATGGAAGCCTCCTGCTGGCTTTCCGGCGCGCACCGTTTCGAGCACGAGCGTACGTGCATCGTCTGCATCTACGCGACACGGTCTTCCGTGCGTTAAGCAGAAATCGAGAAGCTACTTTTGGCCGTCATTTTCTTTAACCGTGTACCGAGCACGACGCGAAAGATTCGTTTCGTCCATTTCATCGAGCGTGCACGCGCGTTCCCGTCGCGTTTCTCCTTGGATGGTTACCATTGCGCTTCGGCGCCAGGGAAAAATTCGTTTCATCGATAACGGCATACACGGTGCCGAAATATATCGTCTCGACAGAGGCGATACATCCTGGCCCGGTGACTGGAAATCGTCCAAGGTAATCGCGCGGGGAAAAATAAAAGGACAGAGTGTCGTACAAAATGACGAGCACGGGTAATGACAGGCCGCCGGCTTCAGTTGGTAAGATCGATAACTATCCGATGCACCGATCGAAACGAGAAACCCATTACTTATCTTCGCAAAGGACTATCATTATGCGCGTTCCCCCTGCAAACGCGCGGCCCCGGTATTCCGGACGATCATCCGTGCAACATTCGCCGCAGCGGGATCGCGGTAGCCTAAGAGTAATTAGTCGAAATTATTCCGCGTCAACGTTCCAGGAACGAGCGTAATTTGGCTAGGACGTGGTCCGACGAAAATAATCGCTGCGCGTGATGGAATCTTTTCCTCGATTCGGGGTACCGAGCGTTGGACTAGAAACCGATTACGATCGCGGACCGTCGATAATTTCGGACAGCGAGAGATTGCGAGCTTCGGCTCGTAGAGGGAGAAACTCGAGCCACGAACGACGAGGATCGCGAAGAAAATAACGCGAGGCTCTTAAGAACGCTTACCTGGAGATGGAGCTGTCCGTTGTTGTCCACCCATCCAATGACCATGTCAGCCCCGATGCTACCGTCGTCCCTCGTGAAGCCGAGACCCACGTAGCCCAGGGTCTTCACTTGAATCTCGAACATGACGTCTCTCTCGCCCGGCGTCCAAAGAACCAAGAAGTTATTGTCCAGGATGGCGCTGTGTTTCCACTCGACGGAGAGTACGCCGGCGACGAAGAGGAGCAGACACGACGCGATTACGGCCTTCATCTTTTACGACCGATGCGATCTCAGAACATCTGTAATCAACGAGAAACGACGTTAGCGTTGCTCTAATTCTCGAATCAAACGTCGTTCGGCGTAGAAAAGAGAACAAGGTTTCCTCCGCGTTCTCGTAACCTGCCAATTTGCGACGTAACGGAACCCCATCGGACAGCTTCCGTTACGGCGCGCAAGCCCGGTAATTACGAGTGCTTCGAGTCCTTACGCGGAAAATATTTTATCTTCCGTCGTTAATATCGACGCTTTAACGCGTCCACGTTGCGAGCGTATCGATACCTCGCTCGTCGCGCGACGTCGAGCGCGAGGAGCGTCGTAACGCGGGATTCCAAGCCAGAGCAGGATCGTTAGACCGCCATTTAGGCGTTTTACGCGGCTATAGACGAGCCGGGTGTGTATTTCCCGTTGATATTTCAACGGAGATATCTCGCCATTAGCTCTCCTATCCGGCAAGGACGGGGCCGGCCACTTGGTCCTTTAAAACGACTCGACGCCATCTATGCGGGAAACGGCAGTTGGCCACCGGTGCCTCTCGATTCTTCCTATTTCGCATGCGACCCATTTTATCGCGCTTAAGCACGCCCCTGTGTGTACGTTCGCCCGGTATTTTCACTCGTTTCCCACGTAAAATCGTATTAGCCTCTTTACCGTACCGCCTCCTTTTCTCCGTCCGACCTCGCTGCCTCGCCACTTGCCCCCGATGAAGAGTTCGCGCGTCCCCGTTACGAGACGAGGACGAAACAATGGAGCTGCAAACGTCCGGGAAATTATGTGGACGGTTGAGAATTTCTGGTCACGGACGTTAAAGCGACTTCGCGAAAAGCCACCGCCGTTGTCTTCGTCGTCGTTGTCGTCGTTGGAGGAGAAGAAGTTGAAGAAGAAGAAGAAGAAGAAGAAGAAGAAGGAAGAAAAGAAGAAGGAAGAAAGGGAGGAAAGGGGTACGACAGGATTGATTTATTTCACGAATGGGCCCGTTACCGCGTCTCTGACTCCCGTGCTACTAGACGAGCGGGCGTTAAACCGAGAGATTAATCGCCGACTCGATTCGCCAACGATGATTGATGTCGACCTTAATTCGTGATCAAAGCGACTCGACTTATCAAGGATCGGTACCGATATCGCCGGTATTATTCTTCTTGCGCTTTAGGCTCCTTTGTGAATTCGCGGATCGATCCGCCGGCTATCAATTTCGCTTTATTGCCAGCGCGATGTATCGGCGCGTAGGAAGGGTATATAACGCGATTAACTTGCCGGGGTGGATGAATAGGAAAGCAGGCGGGGAAAGAAAAGAGGAGAAAAGCGTTATTCGTGGCAATCAAGCAAGACGCGGCAACGAATTTCGAGGGGTGCGAAAGAAGAAGCGCATTCGCGGAATAGGGCACGTCGGCGTCGACGACGCAGGAAGCGACGGTGGTGGTACGGAAAGTGGAAAAAATTGGTAACCGCGGTGTGTAATGGCGACGGCGGAGGGTGAAGAAACGAGCGCGGAGGAAATCGAACGGAATCTCGATCGTGGATTAAAAATTTAACGAACGGCGACGATCGAAGGAGAATCGTCGCGGGGAAACGGTGGCGGTGGCCGATAGAGAAAGGGTGGAAAAACAGATGGCCGAGCGGCGAAATCTCTTTTGTCCATGGCCGTGTGCAAACATCCGCCGGTAAATCAGCAGCAGGACACTGTCAAGAGAACTGTCAATTCGAAAGCAATCGAATCGATTAACAGTAACAATCGCGTGACGCTTGAACGGGCCGATGCAAATCCGGGGGAACGACGCAGTTACCAAGTGTCAGACGAGTGGTGCCGCGCCATTGAACTATTCATTTCGCGCGCGGTTGGGAAAAGCGGAGAATTAAGCGTTTCACAGAGATCACCGATCGGTCCAACAGGCGCGACTCCGCGCCTCGGTGTGTTTCCGTTTGTCTGGAAAACGCGTCACGCCAGGTCACACCACCGCCTCCACCTCTCTCGTTTCGAGATTCGACCACGTGTTCCGCGCAATTTCGAACACCGCGAAATGACCGCGGATCCGCGACCGATCGTTTTAATTAACGACGCGACACACAGGGGCGTATAATGCGTGGCCGTTCAAGCAACGTGGCCACGCGCGGTAATCGGAATCGATGCGCGCGTCCTCTTGCGTGCCCGGATAATACGCGACAGCGATTTTTCGCTGCCTCCGTTTGAAATCGAACCAACGTAATCCCGGTGGCAGGTATTATCTCGCCACTCGTTCGCACGAATTCGAAATGATCCGACCAGGATCGGTTACGGTAATTTAAAGGTTCGAACCACGCGGAGAAGGTTCGATTCGGCGATATCGATAATTCGAGCGAGCCGTTGGCGTTTTCGAATTTTTTTTTTTTTTTTTTTTTTTATATCTGCCGCACCGCGATAGGCGAATCTTTAATTGGTCGATATTAAACGATTAAAGCGCATACGTTTCGGTAATTCCTCTGATCCAGATCGGATCGATCGCATCGCGCCCAATTATGTAACAAGACTCGATTGCTCGCGGGAAATGCAGCAAAATTTTGATTCGTATAATCTTGGAACGAAATCTGGATTCGAGCGATTTACGCCTCGATCGAACGTTTTATCCTCGCGTGATCGAGGCACGCGTACGCGCGATATGCGCGCGATATACGCGCGCGGTACTAACATCGCGGAATATTTGCCGCGCCATCGGGAGCTCGATGATGTTCCTCGCTTTCCCGCTGCGATCTCGACGGGTACGACGCGAACAAGACGTCTGGAAAGGCGGATCTCCTCGATTTTGAAACGAGTTCGACTCGGTTCGTTGGAAAGTGGGTCAAGCGACCGAGTAATTTGCGAGGATTGTACACGGTCTTCTAAAACATAATCATTTCTGACGCGGCGCAGCGTCAGGGAACTTCGATCCCGAGGACCAGAAACCTCAAATAAGGTCATACAAATAGTCAAACTTCGACCCACGATCAAACTGTGTCGTGGGAATTGCGCCGAGTTTCGAGCGCTCGACCAGCTTGTCTCGCCATCGTTTCTTTCTAATTGCTCCTTTAATAGCCGAGCATATTTCGAGCGGAAAGTTTGCGAGCAGCGTGGATCCATTAACCGGATTGACGAACATAGTTTACCTAGTCGTCTTAGCCCGGTTCCGCGTCCGAAACCCTCGCGAGAAATTCTCGTCGTCGCGCGAGCTTCGCAAACGCTTGGCTACCGTTCTAATCGAGCGCTGCTGACCCGTTGCTCGAAAGCGAGATCATCCGTAAGGGATGAGAGTCGATTCCCGATATTCGGACAAGCCGTTCTCCCGCAAAGGTGGCACACGGTGGAAAATGGACGCGCGTTAAGTCGAATCGTTATCCGGTTCCTCGAACCGGCTCGACGCCTGATACACCGAATTTGCGACGCGCTCGACTATACCGTGCGCTTCGTTTATGACGCGTCGATGGCGTCGCGGTGGTGGCCGTCGCGGCGGTGGCGGCGCGGCAGTGTCCCTGTGATCGGCTCGCGCTCACCCCGCGGCGATCCTCGCTTATGCATGCAGCATGCGCGACGTGATTTCGTCGATTTTACGGTGCTAGTAGAGCAACCGCCAATCTGAAAACGATCGATTCAATTAACAGTAACAGCGGTGTAATGTGCACCGGATGCGAGGTGATGCATCGGCAGGAGCAGCTGTCGCGCGACGACTCGAATCGCTCGACCGTACGGAGAAGCGTCAACTCGAATTGAGAGGATAGCCGTGGTCCGCGAAACGAAAATGGGGGAACGGTACGGGGGGTAGAACGCTGGTGCAGAGACGATGAAGAGGGTAAACGGGATAGAGAGAGAGAGAGAGAGAGAGAGAGAGAGAGAGAGAGAGAGAGAGAGAGAGAGAGAGAGAGGGAGAGAGAGAGGTGGCAGAGAGATCGGTGCACGAGTAAGAGGCGGTGGCTACGGTGGAGACAGGAGCGGAAGGGGTGGTTCGGGGGGATGCAGCCAGGTCGGAGGTGAGCCTAGCTAACGCACGACTACCACGGACGGGTTTGATTTGCGGCGTGTCGTTCAGTCGATTGCTCTCAAATTGCGTCCAGCGCCAGTGGCATCAACCTGAAACGTACCCCCAATACATTGACGCCCCTGATCGTAGCAGAGGGGCCTGCTACCGGCCTTTCCATCCGTGTATGCACGCTCGCGCATCCGCCTATTCTCTCCCTTTTCGCCCTCGACAAACCAGCCATCCTGTGGCCTTTCTCTCTCCTCCAAACTCTACACCTCTTCCTACCCCTTTGCCCTTCCAGCGCCCATTCGCCGCCCAGCCTGCTGCACGCTGTTGGTCGGCCACCGCTTCGCCATTCGACTCCTCTTAAAGTTAAATAAATCGCCAAGTGGCCGTGCTAAAGCGGCGAAATCGAAATAGCCACCGAGCGCGAGAGAGCGCGAGATCGTCGAGCGATCGTGGATTAAACGGGGGGCGACACACGGCGTCGCGCGAGAGCTTTCGACGGAGGGTTGCGCGACGGGACCGGAAACCAAAGCGTCCCGCGATATAACCCCCCTAGTCGAACCAAATCGGACGGTGGAAGAAAGAATAATCGCGGAATACGTTCACCGCGAAGCCAATAACGACCGAGGTTTTCGCGACGCTCGCGGAAAGAAGCGGTCGATTCGAGGTTTCATGGTCGATTATCAAAGCACCGCGGGGATAGACGAAACGGGACCAAGGGTGGCGAGCGAAAAAGGGAGAGAAACGTTGTATCGGTACGGTCGGGGTCGCATGAAAAATCTGACGTGATACGCTAAAGAGCAAGCTGAAATGTAATTTCTGCGGATGACACCGGAGATAAACGTGACGTGGAATATTATAAAGCTGCGCCTGTTCACTTTTAATCCCGAACGAATTCCGGCGTTATCGGTAGGAGTAGTTAAAAACAGCGCGCAGAGTCGAGCGTACATCGGTCGATGACGAAACCGGGAGCCCTGTCGAGAACTTTCCGAGCTTGAAAACTTTTTAAACGAAGCGACTGCCTCGACGAACCAATACGGTGTCGTCGCAGA